AAGCCAGTTAGTAAAGTCAAGTTAGATAAGTTTGGACCATTTATTTCAGGTAAGTATCATTCAGCATAAGAGCAAGTGGGGGTGTTAAGTTATGCTCATAATACTTCATATAACAATAATGTAATTAGTTGTGATTTTAATTCAGTTAACCAATGATATGATTAAAACAATGAATACAATATATTTCCTGTAATACAATATATAGCATGATTAATAATTATTCTGACCAATTGTAATTTAGCACATTGTAACATAAACACACTTGATGTAAAATAAAAATTAAGTTCTTGTATGCTTCCACAGAGTGTGTATCTCTTGTAATAAAGAATGACAATTATATAATAATGACAACTACAACGAACTCAACACGCTTGCTCTTACAACTGCGCCACCGAAACCCCATACTTATACTTACTTGCTAACAAATGTTGAATTGATGCACAGAAAGGGCATATTTTTAACTATATAACTACAGGGGTATTTACCCCAATAGGCTCTTTGCTTGCTCCAGTAGTGAAGCATATTTTCAGATGAGCTGGGCCCTTTTGATCATCAGTAAAAGGTTAACCTTCTTGAAAAAGCTGCAACTTCCTGCTTTCTCATGTCCTCTCACATTAATTTTCAACATTCCCTTATATAAAAGTCAGCTTAAAATATAACCTTTAATACTTGACAATTTAATTTAGTGCGAGACATATAGTCACATATGACTTTAAGAACAAAGTTGATGAAATTCTGTGAGAAGATGCGTGCAAGATACCCAACACTGTCTGCTTACAATTATCAACCCCCTCCCCAATTCTTTATCCGCTTTGAACAGACCTAAAACTACTCTAAAAACATGGGGGAAGGGGGGAAGAACCGACGAAGAAAAGATGGCATTACCAGAAATATGGGACAAGATGGCGACGGACATGCACACTTTGACCAAATATGGCGACCAAATATTACTATATGGGAGTTGATCAAAATATCAAATTTTAGTATACTTTGTTTAAATATTTCATGGTTGCCGAGCTCGATTATAGTAGCGACACGAACAAGTAATATTTCTAAACAAAAATCGCAAGTATTGCACGCTTCTAGCTGGTTCCTGAGAATGTTATGTTGTACTTTTACTCGCAATTTGATGCATTTCATAGTGTAATTTACAGTAAACTTGTGACACAAGAGGTAAATATCCGACGAATAGACCAACATCCATTCGGGCGATGCAAAGTGCCGAGCTCGCGATATATTTAATGATGTCTAAACTGTTAATTTAGCTAAATAGATCGCTGTAATTTGGGTAACTAGTTCCCGAAACGTTTAAAAGTTCGCCATTTTACGGTTCTTGTATGTCGCCATTAGGCCATCTTAATATCCAAAACGACAAGTTTTTAATACAAATTTGAGCTGTTTCCAGCTGCTTTGAGCAGCCATGTTTTTTGTTTATTTTGAAAGACTAGAACCAGGCTCTCTCACGTAAAAACACAGGGATATTTTAGGATTTTTTAGGATATTTGCGATGTTTTTAGTCTTGATAAAAAATTGCAGGGATAAAGGTCAAAATACCGGAAGTGCTCAGCAAAAATTGCAAAATATAGTTAAAATCACAGTTTTTGGTTGAATAATACTTGAATTGGAGATTCAAAGTAAAATGCCAAATCGGTTTACTTATGTTAGGCAATGTTATGCATATAAAACGGACTTAGCCGCTGACTACAAAAGCGGGAGCAAAATGTCCTATATTTCTGGTAATGGGGACGTTCAGAAATATTACGGAGCTGCAACATATAAAGGTGGACGCTGAAGAACAGATGGAAAACCGACAGTGGATAATTAACAGTTTATAAAATACTAAAGAAGAGATTATTAAAGATGCTTGCATTAAACTTACCTGTTGACGACGGTTGAATTGATGGACTGGTTGAACTTGCTATAACAATTATAAATTAACAATTTAACTTTTGAAAAAATGTGTCTCTGTCAAACGAGATAATTATAACTTGTTCCTGTCTGCAAAATTTGATAGCAAAATTAGAACATACCGCAGTTCCAATACCATTCATCACTACCATCAGAACAATGATTCCTTCCATCACAAAGATAATATCGATGCACACATTCGTAACCATTATCACATCCGAATTGCCAATATTGACAAACAGACCGTGTTGCTGAATAAAATTAATATAACATGCGTGCTTACTCAAGATTCTTATGAATCTACAAGAAAAAGGATTTCCTCGTTATTGCAACTATGTCCATTCCTACCTGTTAATCAATTTTGAGAATATAATATTCAATAGTCTTACAGCCTGTTTGTTCCCAATAACAGTAAATCCTACATTAACGCTTCCCTTACCGTATATTAGCAGATTAAAGTTTACTTGTAATGACGACGACTAGCAATTCATGAAGTTCATCAAAAAGCACGCAAGAAATTCACTAAAATACCCTTCATTACATTATTACATTATTCAGCTCACTCCCATTCTGGGGCTTTTCAGTGACCGATTACATCAAGTATTACGCTCATGTTACTTACTTAACCTAGACTATTTATCTTTACAACAATTGAGATCTATTTATCCTAACCCACCCTGTCAGCTTGTGCTGTGGGAGAAAACCGGCGCACCCAGAGAAAACCCACGACTTACGGCAGAACCTTGACAAATTCTTTTCACATGAGTACGAAGCGAGAACCAAACCCACGATCTCAGATGTGAAAGGCACTTACTCTTACAACTGCGCCAGCGAAACCCCATACTTATGCTTACTTGTTAACAATTGTTGAATTGATGCACAGACAGGGCATTTCTTCAACTATATAACTACAGGGGCATTTACCCCAATAGGCCCTTTGCATGGTTGCTCCAGTAGTTAAGCATGATTTTCAGATGAGCTGGGCCCTTTTGATCATCAGTAAAAGGTTAACCTTCTTGAAAAAGCTGCATCTTCCTGCTTTCTCAAGTCCTCTCACATGAACTTGAAACATTCCATCATATAAAAGTCAGCTTAAAATATAACCTTTAATACACTTGACAATTTAATTTAGTGCGAGATATATAGTCACATATGTCATAAGAACAATGTTGATGAAATTCTGTGAGTAGGTGCGTGCAACACTGTCTGCTTACAATTATCAACCCCCTTCCCAATTCTTTATCCGCTTTGAACGGACCTAAAACTACACTCTAAAAACATTGCGGAAGGGGGGATAAACCTACGAAAAGAAGATGCAGACGTTCAGAAATATTACGGAGCTGGAACATATGAACGTGGACGTTGAAGAACAGATGGAAAACCGACAGTGGACAATTAACAGCTCATAAAATACTAAAGAAGAGATTATTAAAGATGCTTACATTAAACTTACCTGTTGACGAAGGTTGAATTGATGGACTGGTTGAACTTGCTATAACAATTATAAATTAACAATTTAACTTTTGAAAAACTGTGTCTCTGTCAAATGAGATAATTATAACTTGTTCATGTCTGCAAAATTAGATAGTAAAATTAGAACATACCGCAGTTCCAAAACCATTCATCACTACCATCAGAGCAATGATTCCTTCCATCACAAAGATAATATCGATGCACACATTCGTAACCATTATCACATCCGAATTGCCAATATTGACAAACAGACCGTGTTGCTGAATAAAATTAATATAACATGCGTGGTTACTCAAGATTCTTATAAATCTACAAGCAAAAGGATTTCCTCGTTATTGCAATTATGTCCATTCCTGCCTGTTATTCAATTTTGAGAATCTAATATTCTATAGTCTTACAGCCTGTTTGTTCCTAATAACAGTAAATCCTACATTAACGCTCTCCTTACTGTATATTAGCAGATTAAAGTTTACTTGTAATGACGACGACTAGCAGCTCATCAAGTTCATCAAAAAGCACACAAGAAATTCACTAAAATACCCTCATTATATTATTACATTATTCAGCTCACTCCCATTCTGGGGCTTTTCAGTGACCGATTACATCAAGTATTGCGCTCATGTTACTCACTTAACCTAGACTATTTATCTTTGCAACAATTGGGATATGTTTATCCTAACCCACCCTGTCAGCTTGTGATGTGGGAGGAAACAGCCAAACAGGCGCACCCAGAGAAAACCCACGACTTACGGCAGAACCTTGGTACACTCGTTTCACATGAGTACGAAGCGAGAACCAAACCCACGTTGTCAGAGATGAAAGGCGCTTGCTCTTACAACTGCTCCACCGAAGCCCCATACTTATGCTTACTTGGTAACAAATGTTGAATTGATGCACTGACAGTGCATTTTTTTAAATATATAACTACTGGAGCGTTTAGCCCAGCAGGCCGTTTGCTTGCCCCAGTAGTGGAGCATGATTTTCAGATGGACTGGGCCCTTTTGATCATTAGTAAAGAGTTAACCTTCTCGAAAATGCTGCATCTTCCTGCTTTCTCATATCTTCTCACATTAATTCTCAACAATTCCTCATATAAAAGTCAGCACAGGCAGGGGCGGCGCTAAAACGGGGTTGTGGGTGTGCCTCCCCCCCCCCCCCCCCCC